GGGCTAGAGTGAGCGGAGGCCGGAGGGCTTGAGCGGCAGATTGCCAGCGGATTCGACGAAGGAGCTTGCGGCAACCACATGTGACGACTCCGGGCTGGACTCCGCTATCCGCGAAGCGAAGCGGATATCGTCCTCTTTTGGAAGGCCAACCAAAGTAGTTTCGCTTTCACAACGAAACACAGCGCCTTCACGACATGGCGGCGGCGGCAACAACAATACTACAGCGAGAATAAAAGGTACGCCTTCTTTCTTTGCGTGAACATTTGGGCAACGTTATGCAAATCTTCCCTCATAGTGATGTAGATATGTGGGGGCGTGTTAGAACGAGCCGTTTTAAGTAGGCGTGGGTGTTGGAACGAGCCGTTTTAGGTAGGCGTGGTTGACTCTTAACTTTTATAAAGAATATCTCTTTGGATTTGAGACTTTAGTCTTTGCAACTTTACAGATCTTCTTTGTGCACCAAGAGCTTGTAACACTCCAAAGAGAAAGGAAAAATTGAAATCGCATCATATGACCCCTTTAATACAAACTATCAGTATTGTATATCTAACAAAAATAAAAGTTTTCTCACATTAAATTAATTGGTAAAACGTGTTTTTTGACCGATATATCACTTACTTATCGCTTTTGTCTTTTTCTTACTGTGTAAGGCAGCTCTCTGAACCTGAACTGCTGGTCACAGAACCTAGACTGTGTGTGTTTTCAGTTAGTGCCAGTCATCCATGTGATGTGAGAGATGAATGAGAAATATAAGGAGCCAAGGAGGTTGTTCCCCAGCACACACACAAACACTCCACCCCATCGAAGAACAATCCCTCCATTCTTTCTCAGCTCCTTGTCAGGGCAATGTTTACTCCTATATGTATGCCTTTGATTAAAAAGAGATTTCCCGAGGGTAAAGTAGGCTAAATAAAGTATTAAAAAGAACATTAAGCATTAAAACAATAAAATTACATGAAATAATGTAAAGCCATAGCTTACAATGAGTCACTCTGTACTTTGACCCCCTGTTGGGTTTTCCATTATCTCCCTTGCCAGGGCTGAGCCATGTGTTCAAACCATGAAACGTATGCTCACATTTTCCTGCCAAATATTTATCTTTTCTCTTTACCACTGTCTCATATTTGCAGTTTATAAAATATATAAAATTTGTGCATGTACGTACATAGTTAAGCATGCATGATAAACTGTATGAGACAACATCCCACTTTCCAGATCATAGACAATAATAAGGCTATTGGCGTCAAGTGGGGCTTGTAGCATTTAGAGTAAACAGGAAGTTAAGTGTGTGCACAGGCAGGTACTTGGTAAGGTGCTGACCCTGGGATGTTTACAGTGCACCGAGGGTGCGAGGAAGGGCAGCTCGCCGGGCTGGGCCATGTCAACTGGAAGAAGATTCCCAGTGCAAACAGTGCCGTGTGAAACTCGGGAACAGAGTGTGTAGGCAAAGGCAGGGGACAAACTTTTTCTTCAATTCTCTACTAAATAGTACAACTAAAAATAATCCCCACAGCCGTGCTGGCCACTGACTTATCTGACTTCCTTTTTATGCCACGTTGCCAAATTTGGAGCTGGGCTGCTTTGTATCCTGTACAGCAGAAACTAAGGCATCTTGTGTGCACTTCCTCTAATTTCCTTCAAACAGTTTTAGTTGATTTTAAATCCTGCATGTCTATATTTTTACTTAAGGATATTTGGGATTGGACACATCATCATGGGTGCTTCAAACAATTATTGAGGCTGTAAAAGCTGTGTTCACCTTGGCTACATTTGGGTTTGTAGGCATTGTAGATGCTTGAAACAGTTTATTGTGGCTGTGAAATTTAGAAGCACCTCTTCCATGAAAATATAGCAGATATGAATGCTAGCATAGAGGAGAAAAGGAGCGGATCAGGCTGTCTGTTGCTCTGCCGTCTGTTGTTAATCATAGTGTGGTGTGATGGCAGACACTGTGCCAGATTTACACTCTCTGGCACCGGGTCATTGTGTCACACTGTCTTTGCCTGCTGCTCTGCACCAGCTCACATTAAATAATTTCTTTGGAGCTACAGTGGAATTCTCAACACTGTGGGATACTACAAAATGAGATGCATCGAGGATTTAAATTTGTATTTGTACATTGTTAAAAATAAAATAAATAAAAAATGGTTGTCAGACATGTACACAATAAGGTTGCAACATTTTAAGTTTTACAGATTGAACTTAATTCAT